CTTGTGGCCCTGGGCTCCACTCTGCACCGACCAGATCCCCAGCACTGGGAGCTGCCCCTGGCCTGCGGGAGACCTGTGCCTGGCCTCATGCAGTGGAGGGGGTGTCCTGGAGCCTAGCTCCTCAGTGCTTTCCTCAGCCCACTGAGTCAGGAAGGGTTCTAGGCCGCCCGTTCCCTGAGGATGCAGCTTTTGCTGCCAAGTGCTTGTGTGTGTGTGTGTGTGTGTGTGTAGGTGTGTGAGTGTGTGTGTATGTGAGTGTGTGTATGTGAGTGTATGTTTGTGAGTGTGTGTGTGTGAGTGTGTGTATGTGTATGTGAGTGTGTGTATGTGTATGTGTGCGCGCGTGTGTGTGTGCATGTGTGAGTGCATGTGAGTGTGTGTATGTGTATGAGTGTGTGCGTGTGTGCGCATGTGTGAGTGTGTGTATGTGTGTATGTGTATGTGTGTATGTGTGTATGTGTGTGGTTCTTCTACCTGTAGTGCTGGATTTTGGGGGTGATTTGTAAGATCACCCTCCAAAATTAGAGATTAGGCTGGGTGTTGTTTTTCTAGATTCCAGCTAAACTTGACTGACCACTGAATGATGGCAGACATTTGGTTTCATGTCCTTTTATAACCCTGCAGAGGCAAATGTTTGTCCATTTCTCATGAGCTGGCCAGATGGGCCTGCAGGGGTGTGTGGAATCCTGGATATAAAACCATTGTGAATCTTGCTGATTTGCTGGCTGTCTTGACTGTTTACTGCTCACAATTTTATATCTTTTATTGGTTGTTACCAGATGCCAGGAATTCTTCCTGAGCAATCTGGGAATGGCCTCACCTGGGGCACTCACTGGTCAGCCCTCGGCTCAGTGGGTCGTGGGCTTGGGCCTGCGGGGTCTTACGCTCTCCCCACTGGCCCCAGTGGAACAGGACCAATGCCACATCCTGTTCTCAGTTCCAAATGCAGGAAGTGTGAGGCTCCTGAGCAACGCAGCCACCCCCAAAGGGAAAGGGTGTCACAGACCAGTGTTTGTTTGAGTGGTGAAGCTCTCAGGGATTGAGTGGCCCCTTCCAGCTAAAGGCATTTGGAAGCATGGTCACACGGTTTATACTTTTCAACTATTTTTCATAATTTTTCTCACAATTATTGGCTTTAAAATTTTTTTAGCAGCTGGAGTCATTTAAAAAATGTTAAAATTTTGCTTTTTTAAACAGCTTTATTGACATGTAATTCACATACCAAGCAATTCATCCATTTAGCCTTGTGCAACCACTGGGCCCTCGTTAAAGACTAACCATCTATGAGCAACTCGTGGTGTCAGGACAGGCCAGAGAGGGACTCCCTGCCTCGGCCCTGAGGGTTGGTGGTCCCTCTGGGCTGACCACCGGTCCCCCCGGGGCCACTGCCTTCCCAGGTCACTTCAACCCCCACGGCCCTACTGACCCCACGGCGGGCGTTGGGACTAGAGCCAGAAGAGCCTCTCTTTAGAAACGGGGAGTTCTCTACAGACTTCCTGGTTCTCACTGGGCAGCTGCGAAGAACTGAGACACATTCATGCTGCCTCAAGGCCAAAGAGGTTATTGTAAGTTTCAAACAGATGGTCAGTGTGGGCAGAATCTTATTAAAGCCTCTGCAAGGAGTCGGTAAACTGCAGTATTTGTGGGAGGGAGTTTTATGGTGGAACAAAATGTTGACTGGAGAGTATCATAAGGGAGACCAGCCTGGCAGACGTCCCAGCAGGGGTTCAACCCAGCAGGTGTCAGGGGACAGCACACCGCTTTCCTGGGAGGGTCTCATGAGTTCAGCGGAAAGGACTGTAGCACAGTAACCCCGTGGCTCTGTGACCACAGTATGGCCTTCTAGAAGGGCAACGCTTTGGGGTTTGGAAACTTGTCCCTTTTCACTCTGGTGCAGACTACTGGTTCCCCCAGATCCGTGCACCTCACTGGGGCCCCACTTCTCCAAAGTCTCCCACCTGCTTCTCCTGGTCACTCCCCTTTCTGCATCTCATGGGGTCCCTGTGCTGCTGCCCACAGGCCACTGCTGACTTGGACATCCTTTCCTATTGGGCCTTGGGCTTCACTCACTGCTGCTGTATCACTTATTTAAAATATCTACACTAATAAAAGAGAAACATGGTAATTGGCGTACGACCGCTATCCTTTTCGTTGTCTAATCAGCGAGATATGCAAATTAACTGTCAGCCAAGATGGCGGCCAGCAGCCAGGCAGCTTGAAACTAACATGAGGCTTGCTTGCCTCAGCGACAGAGGAAACCAAAGTTCCCAGCCTGCTGCTCCAGGCCTCTGAGCCTGCAGTTTGAAACATTTTAACAAATACCACCGGACTTCAGCCAGCAGATTTGCAACATTGTAAGCAAAGGCCAGAAACCTACTTTCAGCAGCAGAGGCCTAAGAGCTGGAGCCAAGC